ATTTATTTCTCATTATAAAGCATCTTAGCTCTTACAATAAGGGACTCGTAAGTTTTTCCAGACCTAGGCCTATAATGGAAAGTTTATTTTAAACAGAAATCCCTATTTAGCCTTTGATTTAACTGTGTAGGATCCCACGTTAAGCTTAATTTCTCTTCAGACTACAGAGAATGTTGACTAGGCTGACATCCTTGTCCTGTTCTCTCCTTCTAGGAAGAAATAGGTCCCTTACAGAGACGAGAAGGAGACTCAGATACTATGGAGCTCGTATTTCAGGAGGCTATGAGTAGACTGAAGATGAGGTCTCATCAAGTAGAAAGCAGGAAGCACACAATTGTCGAGAACTGGTTAATAAATGAAAATAGTTTAGCTCTAGTAGCCCGTAAGGGTGGTATCTCAGAGGCCTCCGAGGGTGACGAATGTTAACTGTGTGCGATGCAATGCTGGAGAGGAATTTATCTTTTCTGAACATTTTTAGGGAAGTAAAAAGAATTACCAGTCTGAACAGAGGAAGAGGAGAGTAAAAATCCTCAACAAAAAGACTATATATATATATATATATATATATATATATTTATATATATATCCCCCCAGGAGGAAATAAAATTGTTTTAACCATAGTAATATTTTAAGTATTTATTTCAACTAAAAGAAAATAAAGTGTGTGTCTGTGTACATGCATACCTACATACATGATTTTAAATTTGAGTCAAAACAATGTACTTTTAGGCTGGTTATTCATTGTATCAGCCTATAGGCACATAATTGATTAAAAAGGAAATTCTGAAAATAAAACACATGTAGTTATGATTGAACTGTGTCAGCCAAAAATATGTGTTGTAAATCCCTATATCTGTGGTTATAATCCCATTTGGGAATGAGCTATCAACGAGATTAAACAAGCAAGTGAGAGAAGCAGAGATGAGGGAGGAGAGATGCTAAGCCACATGAAGGCTGCTCAGGAGCAGAAGATCAGAAGAGACGGGGACCCTCGTCCAGAGCCCTCTGAGAGAGAAAGCCTTCCCCCAGAGCTGGCGCACTAGGGAACTAAGACACCTAGAAATTTGCAAAATACAATTAATACGAGAGTAAGAATTCTAACTACACAGAAATAAAATGTTAAAAGATGGGTTACACCTGAGCCTCAAAGAGCCTGTGTGGAAACAATGCGTGTCATTTCACGTTTCCGAAGTCTGGGACTCTGGTAGAATTTGGTCAGGTTAGGAGAGTAATTATTCTGTTAGCGGTAATATCTATAGAATATATAGATATCAAAACACTCTTCATTAACTTATTTATATTCAACTAACATTTACTAAACATTTTTGTATTTTCTAGGCACTGCGTAAGGTGTAGAAAAGATTGTAGAAATATTTATTTATGGCTCCAATGATAAGGTGTGAGTTTCCATAGACAATACCTGATAAGCTTTTGGTTTACTTTTTTCAAAAGCAATGTATAAAAGTCCTCAGGAAGAGGCTTAGAATTTTCCAGTATTTTCCAACTGCAGAGCTAAGTGTCATGTCAAGCTATACGTTAAAATTTAAACAAAACACTCAGACAAAAGATGGTATCTTAACAAAAACAGCAGGTTATGCCCCAATATTGTAGACCTGTGGCACCCAGTCCCATTTTCTTATTACATGAGAGAGTTTTATGTTATCTCTAAGGTCAGAACTCAATAGGAATTCTTGGATCAGTCAATAGCAATCTTGTTTTTTTGACAGTAAAATGTTCTTCCTAAGCCAGTCTTTCACTTTTATTTCAAAAAAACATGATGTCCAACTCCATATGAAGTGATCAGCAAGTCCACAACAACCACCATTATGATCAATCTAAAATTATCCTCTTTGATGAAACATCAATCCCTGGCAACCACTCTCCTTGCCTTTCCTATGATGGTGGATGAGACTAAACTCAAGGATTTTAAATGTGTATTTGTTAAAGACTCCATTCAGCCCACTGCTTATTTTTAGCTCTGCCGATGACCATTTCAGCAAAGATCCTACTTCAGAGAGCTGAACTTTTCAGCTGGAGCATTTGTCTCCATGCCAGCTATTAAGATTCTGGTCTCAACACCCACCACCCTGCCTTGCTCTGGCAAATGATCTCAACAAGCTCAGCCCTGAAACCATGTTTTCTAGAAAGATGAACCAAGGAATTGTTTATCTGCAGAAGGACATCAACATAATTTTACTGAGCAGGGCTTTGCTGGGACTGAACTTTATTCCAAATAGAAAATGCTAAAGTGCATATTCTTGCTCAAATGCTCTTTGCTCAGAGAGGGAAGTATAGTCCAGTGAGAAGGTACTGCACTGGGCAACTGTGATTCAAGAGATCCACCTTCTTCCCTACCAGCAGTGTCACCCGATAGCAGCCACTCAGTCTCCCGAGGTCTTAGTGATGTGATCGCTAAAACAGGGTCAAAACCATCTAGCTATCTGCAAGGGTGCCAGAAACTCTTTGATGGTTCCTCACAGCCTTCACTGCTGTAACTTTAGCAAAGAAAAATTCAGACGGTGAGGAGAATCAGTGCAAGTGGGTGGCTTACTGATTTAGTTACATAATACAGACTTCCGCTTCCAGCCCACATGGAGTAACAGGAACCAGGTTTACCCATCTAACTCAACCAACCAGAAATGGAAAATAATAGACTGAACAATGTTTTTGCAATTTATTAGACATCAGGAAGTGAAGGACAGTCATCCCTGAAAAACAGGAAACAAATGAGGTGAGCCCTCCAATCACCCAAACATACTGCCCGAGAGTTTCCAGGTGGCAGCTCAAGGACAGGGAACTCAGACGGAGCTGGATGGACTCCTGGAGCTGAGGATGGGGAAGAGAATCTGGAAAGCTCAAGGTGGCAAGAGTTCATAGAACAGGACAGGGGAAAGCTACACAGAGAGAGAACCTAGGTATGTGCAGAGGGTTGACCTTGAACATGCACCTGAGTACTGATAAGCACTTGCATCTGAAAGACACAACCTGTACCTGGGGACAGAACCACCCAAAGGGATTAGACGTAACAATGCCTGGTGCTCACACAGGGTCAGGAACACTGCCTGCTCCTGGAAAACCTCCAGATCCACGGTAGAGTACACAAAAAGGTCTTGCCTTTCCCTAACTAGGGAATGATTTGCACAGACTAGGAACCACTCGAGCTCTCACCTAAAAAATTGTATAAGCAAAATCCAAAAGGATGGAACTGTTTTCAAGTAACTTAACTGCATTCCAGAATAGAGTTCAAGAATATTTATATGAATGTAAAAATATCCAGCATTCAACTAAGTAAAATTCACAATGTCTAGCATACAATAAAAAATTACCGGGTATGAAGAGATGCAGAAAAATACCACTCACAAGAAGAATCGATTAATTAAAATCAACACAAAGCAGACACAGATATTAGAATTAGCAAACAAAGACACTAAAAGCTTTTATAAATGCATTCTATAGGTTCAAAAAGTTATGCAGCAATATAGGTGATAGGGGGAAAAAAAAACCCTGAACTTCCAGAGGTGAAAACTACAATATGTGAGAGGAAAAATAGCCAGATGGGTTGCCGATAGATCCAAGAAGTTCAATAACCCCTAGAACGTGAAACATAAAGAAAACTACACCTGGTGCATCATAATCAAATTGCTCAAAATCACTGATAAAGAGAAATCTTAAAAGCAGCCAGATAAAGACATGTATGTAGTAAAGAACAAAGGAGTATAAGAGAATTGTTAAAAGTTAAACATGTACTATATAAGCTCTAAAACAACAACTAAAATTATAGTTAACAAGATAACAAAGGACATAGAAAAGAATAATAAAAATATTTTATAAGTCCAAAAGGTGGCATAAAAAGAGGAAAAAGGCAACAAATAGAAAACAAATAGCATGATGACAGATTTAGACATTACCATATCAATAATCTCATTAAAGGTACACAGTCTCCCCAATTAAAAAGCAGTGATTGTCAGACTGGATAAAAAAGTGAGATCAAATATATGCTGTGTGCATAAAATGTACTTCAAATATAAGTACAAATAGGTTAAGAGTAAAAAGATGGGAAAAGATGTACTATGCTAACGTTCATTTTTTAAAAAAAGCTGGAGTAGCATTGTTAATATTAGACAAAGTAGATTTCAGAGCAGAACATATTAGTAGGGATAAAGAAGGTCTGTTCATAACAATAAAGGGATCAAAGGATGAAAGAGGACATAAAAACTGAGAATTTATGCACCAAACATCAGAGCTTCAAAATGCACAAAGCAAAAACTGATAGCACTGCGTGGAGAAACAGACAAACCCACAATTATAGTCGGAGATTTCAATAACCGTCTCTCAATAACGGATAGCACAAGTAGGCATGTTAACACTCTCAGAATGTTCCTAGTAAATTTTCCCACTGAGGAAATCGATGCCTGCATTGCCTGGCAAGTCTTTCCAGGCACTGATCACTAAATACCACAAATAAGCCCTCCCACCACAGACATCATGACTGACTAGGAGTTTTCCCAGAGAATATGGTCACTGCCCTGTGAGCAGGAAATCCAAATTCGAGTTCCTACTTGGCCACTAAAAACCCTTACAACTCAGCCAAGTGTCAACTTTTTTAGATCTTAGTTACATCACTTACATGATGAGAGGGCTGGGCCTGGTTATTTCTCAACGTCCTTCCAGCTTTACTACAGAGCGGTTCTCTAACTTCAACTCTTCAAGTCATCACTGCCTCAAGAATATCAAGTCAAGGGTTGGACTTTGAGTCCCTGGGAAGCCTATCTGACTTCTCTGTAGAAAGATGTGTCTATTGTCCCAAGATGATCCATGGAGGCAGCTGTCTTGTGTTACCCTTCAACTTCAAGAAGGAATGGACAGATCTGAACCCATGAACAAGGGTGCTCACAGCATTTCTCTTGGTTTCTTTCTTATGGCCTTCAGTGCCCAGAATCCCCTGCCCCACGGTCTGTAATGTGAAGTAAACTGTAAAGCGAGGCCTCAGCTTGACCTACCCGTGGAGGAACAGCTTGCAGGGCAGTGATGTAGTTCTCCAGAGCCAGGCGACGACGGTCATTGAGCATGGCTTCCACTCTGGCCATGTGCGTCTCCACCAACTGCTGTCTCTCGTTGGCTGCTTCCTGTTCCAGAGACTCCACTTTCTCCTGGAAATGCTGCCATTACAAACACACACACATCAATCGGGAACTAAACAAATAGGATGAGGCAGCAAACTCAAGTCTTTTAAGAGTGATATGTTCTATCTTCTCAAAGAGGTGAAAACAATGCTAAAGATCGCATAAAATCATTCTAACATCTTGACGAATTCAGCATGTCTTAGGGGTTACTTCCGCTTCATGCCCCCTCCCCACCAAAACTTAATTTCCTAATAGAAATCAGGGTTACACAGGGTCCCTGAACACTGATTTGACTAATGATAAGGTAGGTTAAAGAAACCCTGGTGGTGCAATGTTTAAGAACTTGGCTGCTGACCAAAAGGTTGGCAGTTCAAACTCACCCAGCAGATCTTCTCAACAACCATGTAGGATAAATGGATGCACTCTTGAAACTCTAAACTATACTGCATTTTAAAAAAAAATTTCTTTCTTCCTAAAATCACTTTAAGTAAATGACCATACTAATCTCTCAGTTTATGACAGTTTCAGAGAAAAGTTCAAGGCCTCACATAATTGTCGCCAAAGGAAGAATCGGTAGAAGACTGGTATGTGGTGTTGGTTGCCAGTCGAGTCGATTCCGACTCATGGCAACCCCACACATGCAGAGTAGAACTGCTCCATAGGGTTTTCAAGGCTGTGGCCTCTCAGAAGCAGACTGTCAGGTCCTGTCTTCCAAGGTGCCGCTGGGTGGGTTTGAACCACAAACCTTTCTGTTATAGTCTTAACCATTTGCACCACCCAGGGATCTGGCAGAACATTACAGCAACCATATTTATATCATTGACAAAAAGTAGATTGTCAGTAATCATTATGAATTCGATGGCGTGACTTATAACTTGAGCTAACTGGAAACAAATTAAGGCAGGATTTTAATCAAACGATTACTAAACAATGATCAACAGTTTTACTGTTGTTGGTTTCTGCCAAGTCAATTCCGACTCACAGCAACCCCATGTGTTACTGAGTAGAACTGCTCCATAGGGTTCTCTTGGCTGTGATCTTAATGGAAGGAGACCAGCAGGCCTTTTCTTCTCCAGTATCGCTGGGTGGGCTCAAGCCACCAACCTCCAGGCACTGAGTCCACAGAGGTTTGGGCATTTTCGACTTGGCAGGGAATGGGTTCAACTTACCTGGATAACTGCCTTCTTATCAGCTTTGGGCAAGTTCTTTGCTTGACGTTCTGCCTCTTCCCATTCTCTCATGACCTATAAAATGAGAAAACATTTGAGTTTAAAACCATCAGTTCTCCTTTCAAATACAGATTTAATAGGCTGGATTGTGAGAGTTTTCCTTTATTTTTATCATTTTAAGTGTTTTTTTTAAAAAAACCACCATATTCCGTTCCAATCTGAATAATATTTGACCTCACATTAGGATGCAAATAATCAGTAAAATAAAGCCTATCTCCTTTCAAACTTGATATTCACCCAGGATTTCCCTGAGTGAAGTTCACTCAACGACCTGAATGTAAAGAGGAAGTGTCTTCAGCTGTACATGTTGTTGACAGAAAATAATAATTGATTCTTACAATTATCACCTATGGTTGCCCATTCTTTTTCAACTGTACTACTAGCTGTCAAGTAGAGTTTAAGTACAACTCATACCTGAACTAGGTAAAAAAACAAGCAAAAGATCAAGTAACCAAAATATTATTTTGTTGACAGATGTACTTTACGTAGTTTGTGGACTTTCAAAGTATGAGAAAATCTCATTTCTGGACTACAAAAGCCTGCTGTTAACTGTATTTGCCCCTAAAAACTGACAGAAGAATGAATAAGTCTTAGAAGAAATACAACCAGAATGATCCTTAGAAACCAGGATGGGGAGACTTTGGCTCCCTTACTTTGGACCCGTCATCAGGAGAGATCAACTGCTAGAAAAGAACATCATGTTTGGTAAAGTAGAGGATCGCTAAAAACGAAGGAAACCCTCAACGAGATGAACTGACACAGTAGCCACTACAATAGACTCAAACACAGCAGTGATCATAAAGATGACACAGGACCAGCCAACATTTCATTCTGTTATAAAAGAGGTCGCTATGAGTCAGAGCTGACTCGATGGTAATTAACTACAGCATCCTGAAAATACTGATTTTTCCACAGTGTCCATCAAGATCACAAAAAAAAAAAAAAAAAAAACAAGGCTTGGGATAAATAACTATTGACAGAGACCTACTGCATGGGTTCTAATTAGCTATTTCATTGGCTGTTAGCTTCAATTCTCTGTATAAGATACAGTCGCTGCCTCATGTTGCTTTAGAGAAATTATGGAGAAAACAGGATGGAAGGAGTTTCCTATTACAGTAGAAGAACACACTAAAAATAACCTCAAATTCACAGCAAAATTGGGACAACTGCCCAGCTGCCATGAGCAAGAACAGAACACGCAAAAAAAGAAACACTGTCCCAGAAAAGAAACATTGTCCCAGATGCCTTAGCGTGGGCAAGAGATATTTGCCCTTCTGATATTTGCTACCTTAACTTTATGAAGGAGGTAAATATCTCATTTTCCTGCTTTGCGGATGTTCAGAGGCCATACCCTACCATGAACTCGATAGGCAACAAATCTCAGAATCAGCTTGAAATAGAAGCCACGTGTCTCATCAGAATATGAAAAACTGATATCCTGCATTACACTGACATTTTGTTCATCTTACCTTCTTGTTCATTCAGAACCTGGACTTTCAGCTTTGAGCTGGGGAACCTATAGAATAATTGTTGTTGGGTGCCGTCGAGTTGATCTCTACTCATAGACCCTACGTGAGAGAGAACTGTCTCATAGGGTTTTCTAGGCTTTAATCTTTATGGGTACAGATCACCAGGTCTTTGTCCCACAGAGACGCTGGATGGGTTCCAACCACCAGTCTTTCGATTAACAGCCCATTTGCGCCACCAGAGCTCCATATAGAATAATTAAGGCCATCTGTTTAGCTAATGAATCGAAAATAAACATTAGTCTAAAAATGAAATCAAGGTTTGGTTTTCAGAGCAATTTAACAATATATACTTGGGGAGAATTTTTATTTTTGTCCCCACTCCCACAGATAAAACAATTCACCTGTAAAAGCACCCGACAAGCCAAAGACACATCTTTACTCTGCAGGCCTGACATCTCTCTTTGCACAATGGCTTCTACTGGGGCACAATGATACCAGATAACATTACCGACCACCTGCTACATACTACATCCTGTGTTAAATGCTTCACATAATCTATCTCATTTAACTGATTCCTTACAACAGCCTCTGAGATGAGGCATCAGCACTCCCATTTTATAGACCAGATTAAGTTACCTGCTCAGGGTCAGGAAGGTAAGTAATGGAGAAGAAATTGAACCAAGATCTGGCTAAGCTCTGAAGACCAGGCTTTTATTCCCAATGGCCCAATTTACCGTTATAAGATGAAAATTCCAACAGGTGAGCTAAGTTTATTGATAGCTGGTGACAGGAGAAAGGACTTTCCATAAGAGGAGTTCCTGTGTAGTACAAATGGTTAATGCACTCGGTTGTTAACTGAAAGGTTGGAATTGGGAGTCCACCCAAACACCACAGAAAAAGGCCTGCTGATCTATTTCCAAAAGGTCACAGCCACTGAAACCCCTATGGAGAACAGTTCTACTCTAAACACACACGGGGTTGCCATGAGTTGGAATCAACTTGACAGACAATATGGGTTCTTATCTTAAAAACAACAAATTTACAAATTTACAGTAAGGTCAACGTTTTGTTTTGAAGGACTTCATTTTAAGGATCTATTAAAACTGCTAAAGACCTAAGTAATTAGAGTATAAATACACTGTTCAAATGCTTATTTATATGTGGTAAAGGCTATTCTCAACAGAGTAACACAGCAAAAGCTACAAGTTTAGAGCTATTATGAGCCCCCAAATAAAACAAATAAAAAAACCTCCATATTTGTAAAAAACCAAGTAACAACCACACACAAACATACACACACACAACGATTAAAACCCAATTTATCTGAAATTTAAAATTATAGAGTCTAAACATTGACGTTGCTCTAGAGATCCCTATAAAACCATTTCCCACTGCCTACACAAAGCCAGCAATATCTGGATTTATGGATCTTCCAAGACTTGGCTGTTGCACGCAGAGAAAAATGACAACCACTAAGTAGAGATTTAAGAGGCAGACAAGTTCAAAGTCAAACTGTCCCCAGAATTCAGCGCCACAGATTATGAAGCTAAATGTTGATTCTCAGCTGGCTCACTTTCCTACCTCCCCACTGGTGTCTAGTCGGTAGTATTCTCTGCTCCAGGATAAACTCTTTTAAGACATCTCAGATACATTTAATGACTAAAAGATAAAATATCAAAACTTACAGGAACTAAGTCACGGGTAAAACAGATGTGCTAAGATAAAGTTAAGTTGATATTCTAGGGAGACCTATACTCTAGAGTATTTAAAATTCATCTTCTTAAAAGGATCAAAATGACATACTGAAGAAACAAAAATTTCAGAGCTTGCATTTGTTTTTTATAATAATGCCTATTTGTTTATGTGTCCAAGACTGAAATGCAAGGTTACCAAGGTGCCTTATATGAATTTACATGAGCGGAAAGGATTTTACAATCCAGCTTGAAAGGTAAGACATGTACGTCAAACTATCACTAATAAAACTGGAGAACAAATATTTACAGGAAAGGCCAGAGCAAGGACTGCTTTCCGCACTCTGAGGACTATGTGGGGTATAAGGAACGGGTGCGGTAGGCCATTTGCGGAAGGAGCAATGCCAATGACCAAGAGAAGGCCAAACTGAGCTAGGCAGACTGTGAGCGCAGTAGCCTAACCAGAACAGCAGAGTGAAGGCAGACAGGTGATGTCAGCAGCTGAGGCAGAAGAGGTAGACCAGGAGGCTGGAGTAGGGGCAGGGGACACTCCAAATGCCAGGCTGAGCATTCAGTGTTCATCTGGCCTATTTTTATCATTATTATTATTTTGGAGTTCGCTTGCCCAGGGCAACAGAAGTTTCCGGAACAGGAAGTGGGATAAGATTTAAATTTAAAGGAGAGCACTCCAGTGGCAATAAGTAGGGTGCACAGTCCCCCTACTCTTTAACAGTGATTATACGTCAGCCTGCGTCTTTCCTAATGAAAGATCCTATTTTTCAAAAGAATTGACTTCATATGAAACGTCACTGTTCCACACTAGCTGGCTTTCTAGTTCAACCTGATTTTAGGTTTTCATTATGGGCAATTAGAACTGCACATCATTTTCCAGAGCCAACAGCATTGTGATTGCTGTGTGTGTATGTTTAATTATATTAGAGTCAAGCATAATGGCTACTCATCTTCAAAGAAAAAAAAAAGAACTCTGTTATACCATTCTAGATGCATTAGTACTATCTATTAAAGACTTATTATGATCTTAGAAAATATATGGCACACTAACTCAAAAATCCTTTTAAATGTCTACCATGATGCTTTTAATTATTTTTGCTAAATATGGCAACAATTAGTCATACTTTCTGATATTTGCTCCAGAAGATGACCACCGAAAAATGAACAGCTGACTTTAAACTTCGATTTTTCTTCATTCATTCACTTATGTTTTCTTAAAACTAACTTACCCTCTTTTTTCTTTTTCAAGTTCATTGTTAGGTACATAGACTATAAATAGAACCGTGACTGGCAAGTAATACTCACTGCCGTCAATAGCGACCCTATAGGACACAGTAGAACTGCCCCATTGGGTTTCCTAGGCTGTAATCTTTAGGGATCTTTCTCCCACGGAGTGGCTGGTGGGTTCGAACAGACCACCTTTTGGCAAGTATTAAGTGTGGATTAATGATGAATCTTAGAAAAGGCTAGAATTCTCACTATTGTCTATATAACATCCACGAGCTTCTTGGTGGTGCGAAGGGCTAAGTGCTCAACTACTAGCTGGAAAGTTGGCCGTTTGAACCCACCCAGAGGCGCCTTGGAAGTAAGGCCTGGAGATCTGCTTCCCAAAGGTCACGGTCATGAAAGTCCTATGGGGCAGTTCTACTCTGCACACTTGGGGTCTCCATGAGTCAGAATCAACTCGATGGCAACTAATAACAGCAATGATACAACATCCAGCACCTATTACTAGGCAGACCTCAAATAGTAGTTGATAATATTATATATTGATTAGCCCCTTTTTTTGGGGGTGGGTGGGGGGCAGGAGTGGTTCAGTGGTAGAATTCTTGTCTTCATTGTGGTGGGCCCAGGTTCGATTCCTGGCCAGTTCACCTCAGGCACAGCAGTGGAGGCTTGCAGGTTGCTCATGATGCTGAACAAGTTTCAGTGGAGCTTCCAGACTAAGACTAAGAAGAAAGGCCTGGTGATCTACTTCTTAAACCCAGTCAGTGAAAACCCTCTGGACCACAATGATCTTGATCTGCAACGGACCACGGGATGTCACAGGACTGAGAAGCGTTTTCATTTCTCGCCATGAGTCCCGGACCGACTGGATGGCAGCTAACGACCAGAGCCAAGTTTTGGACTCAAGCTATTTTTAAATTTGTTTAAAAAAGAATCTGATTTTTTTTAAAAAAAGGATTTGCAACCTAATGTAATGAAAGCATTATACTGAGAGTGGGGAAGGCTTGGGTTCCAAACACTTGCTTTGGGTTCGGGAGAAGAATTGCTCTCTAAACTTCTATTCCATCGTCTACCACTTACGGGACTAGATGAAATGATTATTATGTTAAGTTTCTATGGTTTTATGAATTAACTTTGCAAGAAACAATAGGTTCAAAGTTTTAATAATCTGGTGTTTCATACAAAAATATTCTTCATCTTTACTAAAGAACATTGAATGGATTTTAATTTATAATGTGGTGATTACAGGTGCCACATATACATATAATAACGACACCAAGTACCTTTTCTCATCCCGTGGAGAATGTCGTAGGCATAATTTATTTCGTACTTACAAAACGCAACTTCAAAACTACACCTAAATCTTTCCTAGGGGACATGCGAGTGGAAGGTACAACAAACCCAAAATTGATACCATTAGAGCAAATATATTTTTAAAGACTTGGATAAAATTAAAGACCTAATTCCCAGCCCTAGGTATTTATCAGTCTGGGGAACACCGAGGCTGCAATTTCCCCAATACGGTAGGGCTGAAGGACTGAAGAGTTGCATTTACCTGGGACATTCTCTCACGGTGCTTGGCCTCGAGTCTCTCCTTGGCTTTCTGGAAATGTGCGTGTTCATTCTCATCTCCAGGAGTCTCCAGGTACTTGTCAACGGCATCAGGGGTGCTGGCAGCTGTGGTAGGAACTATCAAGCAGAAGGAAAGCAGATTTGAGAAGAGAAGTAGGGTATGCAATTATTTAAAAGAAAGCCATAGTTCCAGTTATGTTCAAGAACACAGAATTTAGTAAAGAAGCACATTCAGGATGCTAATGCCGCTGAAGAGAATACCGCGAGACAGCTGGCAGCACAGCAGGGGTGTATTTCAACGCTTTCAAGAACAGGGTGAAGGAAAATCTTTCAAACCGTCCATTTTGCAATTACGGTATTACATTTAAAATTCTTTGCAAAACAAACATGCACAGAGCAAAAACAGTTGGTGCTTAAGAATACGGACATGTATCTCCAAATCAGCATGCTTTGCTAGACTAATTTTTGTAAATCTGAAAGTAAATAGTAGGATCATAAACATCCCACTGTAAAATGTCTGCAGAAACCAATGAAACTTCAAAATTAGTCCATGACAAAATAATGGGACCTTGGAATAAGGTAAAAACAAGACTGTATTTTAGATAGCTGGAATATAGAGTCTTCCTTCATGAGAAAGTATTCGAAACACCACAAAATGAAACAAATATCAACGAATGCATTTCTGAAATCACAGAAGGGCCTTTTTCCCTACACAAGTTTAATACTGCAAAGCAGTATTACTAAGTTGGAACATATACTGCTACACTGCACGGAAACATAAATACCCATAACGAAGAGTGTCCTATAAAAGAACAATGTGCTAATGCATGAGCTGAGGGAATGATAATGCTTACATAAGCAGTTTCCCAAAATATTAGTCATGACTACTGAGAAACCAGAGTATGGATTTTGATTGGAAGAAAAAAGCACTTTTAACCTGAAAAACGAAACGAGCTGTTTTTTACTACTGTTCTCAGGTGAAATCAATTTTAGGCGTTTTGTTTAAAAAAAGATTATTTATTAAACATCATTCATGTTCCAAGCACTCTTCATCACTACCCTCACCTAATTATTTGACTATTATATTCGGGAAATAGTATCTCAGAGGAGACCTGAATGAAAAGTAATTATAGCTAGGTCATTTTGAAACCAACATTAAGTTAAATGCCTTTTACACATGCTTTAAGAAAACATCTGGAATCAACAATCCTAAGGCTCCATGATTTTAATGAAAATCTCCAAATGATCTGTACGATTTTAAAGAGAAACATTCCTTGTGATTTCCTCCCTTCTACTTCAATCACTGTTCAATGATTATTCAAAAAAAGGAAAAAAAAGGCAGTTTAGGAGTCTAACCAAATGTTGCTTTCAACTGAAAACCGTTACCCATCGCCATCGAGTTAATTCCGACTCATAGTGACGCTGAAGGACAGAGGAGAACTGCCCCCACAGGGTTTCCAAGGAGTAGCTGGTGGATTCGAACGGCCGACCTTTTGGTTAGCAGCAGAGCTCTTAACCAGGGCTCCTTCAGCTGCAAGGAGGGGCATATTCCAAGAAGCTTTTCAAAACACATGTTTGTCCAACCCCTCTCCCACTTCTTCTACTCCACCCCTGGGGCTTTTTGATTCAGATGCCTGGGACTATCAAATGCACGAATATTGTGAAAGGCTTTTCTGGGTGGTTACTGATCCAGCACATTAGTCTGTCCCTGTTCTCCATGCAGTAAACAAGGCAGGGGGAAGGCATGAGCTGGGGCTTTGGCACATCTGGCTGTGACTCCCAGCTCCTTCTTAGACTAGGACCCTGGGTGATGCAAACAGTTTGCATTTGGCTGCTAAAAGAAAGGTTGACTGTTCAAACCCACCCAATGACATCACCGAAGAAAGGCCTGGCAATCTGCTGCTGTAAAGATTACAGCCAAGAAAACCCTATGGGGCAGTTCTACTCTGTTAACACGGGGGCCGCCATGAGTTGGAATTAACTCGATGGCAATAAGTTTAGTTTCTTGTTCTTCTTTTTTTCTTCTTAGACTAGCTGTGACCAAAGGCAAGTAACTTAAGGACTCCATGTTGTAGCTTCTTTATCTATCAAGTAGGAATAGCATGTCTACTTGATGAAAATGCTCAGAAAATCAGATACCACACCATGTGTATGCAGGGAGGGTGGCAAACAAGGCACTTCATACATGTTAGTGCCCCTCCCTCCTCCTTACTGTATTACATCCTGTTCAATTCTTGGAGCCCTGGTGGCACAGTGGTTAAGAGCTGGGCTGCTAACGACAAGGTCGGCAGTTCGAATCCACCAGCCGTTCCTTGGAAACCTATGGGGCAGTTCTACTCTGTCCTATAGGTTTGGGTTTTGGGGATATTCAAATCTTAGAGCTGATGCTAACCATGGGGAAAATCAGTTACTTTTATTTCTAATCCACTGAAAATGAATTACACATAGATGTGCCATCTATAGGAAAGGTAATACATATTTTTCTCAAACATTTTAGGTATAACCCATACGAAAAGTTGAAATTGTTGAAAATGAATGAGATCTTAAGTTCTAAGGCTGAAAAATAATTTTCAATCTTATAATTCTTTTTGTTAAAAAAAAAATAACAAAGGTAGGTGTTTTTCTGTAGAAATTCAAGCAAACCAGTATGCAAGTATTTTTAACTCAATCATTTCCCCCAACTTGTAACTGAAATGGAGGCGTTATTTAGCATTTTGAATTTGTTTCTGATGGTTCTGATAATTTACTCATCGCTACCGGTAGAGCTCAAATTAGAACAAGTTAAAGCAAAACTAGAAAATAAAACAATGATAATCTTTTAGCAGAGTACAATCTTGCAGAATGAAATAATTAAGGGGACTATATCTTACATTTTAAACACAGGAAAATGCCTAAGTGTTTGGGGTCACATTTGCTGATTAAAATAGTTGTCCTGTTTCCAACTGTAGCAATTATAGCATGGTACCATCTCCTTCGGAAAATCAGAATTATAAAACTTGCTATATATATGTAGGGAAGTTTCCACCTCTCAGTTTGCAAATCTGTCCACTGTGCTATGGGGAGGAGAGTTGCTGTAAAACTCATTGGCCTAAACTGAAATGTAGCTTTGTAATATGAAGAAAAGAATACGAAAAAGAGAATAATAAGGGAATGAGAATGAGAAGCATGCTTCAGAGGATTAAGACTATTTCGAATATTCAACCCTCTTTTTAGGTGTATGGAAATGAATGCAAATACTGTATTATCCATTCATTCAATTTCATCAAGAAATATTCGCTTTGAAAAGACCAGACTTAATGGTCTGACTGAAGCTGGAGGAACCCTGGAAAGCGCGCCCCCGGACTCTCTGTTAACCAAGAACTAAAACCATTCCCAAGGCCAACTCTTCAGACGAAGATTAGACTGGACTCTGAGACATAAAATGATACTCGTGAAGAGTGTGCTTCTTAGCTCAAGCAGATACATGAGACTAAATGTGCAGCTCCTGTCCAAAGGTGAGATGAGAAGGTAGAGAGGGTCGGGAGCTGGCTGAATGGACACGGGAGATCAGGGGTGGAAAGGAGGAGTGTGCTGTCATAGTACAGGGAGAGCAATTAGGGTCACATAACAATGTACAAATTTTTGTATGACAGACTAACTTGAATTGTAAACTTTCACTTAAAGTACAAAAAATAAAATAAAAAAAGAAACATTCCCTTTGAATACACCCTCATTACTTGTCCCAGTTACTTCCTTTGGTTGAGGATTTGAGAGGAGTTGTTTCAGTTTGCACTCAGCTGCTAACTTAAAGGTTTGCAGTTCAAGCCCACCCAGCTGCACCTCAGAAGAAAGGCCTGGTGATCTGCTTCCATAAAGATTACAGCAAAGAAAACTCTATAGGGCAGTTCTACTCTATAGCGCATGGGGTCGCCATGAGTCAGGAGTGAATCCATGCAACGGGTTTGGTTTCTGGTGTTTTGGTCTCTTTAAGTCATCTATAATTTAATTTTTTTTAGTCATTCATAGTAACTTAAATTAGTAAACGTGAATGAAGTTTTTCTATATTTATACCATCTAGCAAAGCAGATCACTGTCTGGTCAGGGAGAGAAGAAAGATGGCAAACCTTAGCATTTTAAAATGTATTTAGTATGTTATATCCCTGCCGGGAAGCTGGTGAGGAGGAAGTGGAGAGCGTTCAAGGAGGAGCTTGTATGGTGAGCTCAATTTCCATGTTTCTATATCCCCACATCTTAATGAAGTTATCTTATCAGGACTTGCTGCCATTTTGTGACAAAGTCCGTGGTAGGCAGGGACCTGATACCAAAGGGGTGGGTGGGGGCAGGAGGTCCAGTGGCCTTGTCCTCACCCTTTCAAGGTGCCTCCTTTTGGGAAGGCTGTGACCCCCAAAATGTCAGGATACACCCCAAGGCACAAAGACAACAGGAAACTATATATCACAGGAAGAGAAACCAGTGAGGATGGTTTATTGTTGGTTCTTAAACTACCACAAAGCAGTGACTTCTGATTTGTCAGTGACAGTTTATCCCCTTCAGAGTCCTCTGAGGTTCCTTAGAAGCTGCAGAATGGCCTGGATTTCTCAGCTGGCCAAATAATAATAGCCTCCATTCACTGGTTCACTGCTAGCTCGCTTTACCTGCGTTCTCATGTACAATGTGGGGAGAAAACACGTTACCCAATTACACTCTCCAGGTAGGGGAAAAACGCTATCATTTAGCATGCTCACTCACATCCCCAGACATGCAAAAAAGTCTGGATTTAGGATTTTAGGTAAACTATGAACTCTGGTGGTGAGGATGGCATAGGACTGGGCACTGTTTAGTTCTGCTGTACACAGGGTCGCTACGGGTCAGAGCTGACTCAACGGCACCTAACAACAAACTATGAAAAAGCTATAAAGTTAACTTTTAGGGCTAATTTACCCACATGTCCGGGGTACCGGGAAGGCTTGTTTTGTTAATGTTCAACAGGACTTGGTTAAAAAGAAAAAAAATACTTTATCCTGATATCTTTCTGCCTATTTTCTGTCAAACAGCTAGTCTTGACCCTGCTTTTATCTGGTAAGTGGCCTCTGAACAAGCTTTGGCAGAACTAAGGTTATAAAATAGGGATCAAGAGA